CAGCCAGGAGGTGTGGTGCAGCCAGGCATGGGACACGCAGGGGTTGTGCAACAGAAATCTGTGACTCAGCATCAAATGGGTGGAAGCGGCCAAGTGTCCGGAATGCCTGGTGCTCCCCACGCCGTGGTCGCTGGAGTTCAGAACGTGCCTGCGGTTGTGCCCGGTGCGAGCGTGCCTAGTGCTTCTACCACCGCCTCTGTGACCATGCCAAACGTCCCTGTGACGCTAGTCCAGTCCCAGCTGGCCAGCCACACGTCTGTCAGCAGAAGTGCTGGCGTCGTCCAGCCGCAGCACGTCGGGCACTCGTTGATGCAAGGGGCGCCCAGCGTGCCCGCGAGTCTGCCACAGGCGAACCTCGGACAGTTTCAGACTCAAGCTCAATCCTTAGTAGGCCAGATTGATGATACGAGAAGAAAATCAGAACCCCTACCTCAGCCGCCGCTTTCTCTTATAGCTGAAAATAAACCTCTCGTGAAGCCTCCCATTCCAGACACTCTAGCAAATCCTCTTCAGTTACCTGCAAGTACTCCTATGAACAGTCTTGCCAGCTCTGTGTTTGGCATATCTATTCCTGTTGATGGGGATGAAGACAGGTATGATTTTTTTTTATAATACCATAAAAATACCTTTTCTTAAGGGGGGAGAAAAGTCAGCTTTCAGGTTATTGTGAGGTGTTTTTTGTAAGTTCATGTTTGTAGAAAGTCATGCTAAAATTTACCTGGGCTACTTTTTTTTTTTTAAGGAGTACAAAAACATAGCAGAGTATTTAGGCAAGTAGTGAACTGTATGTGTTCTTTTTGGGCCCTGTGATTACTTTTCTCACAGAACAGGGCAGAAAGCAGCCTGAAAGCTTCTTATTGCCAAATAATATGGCCTCTTCCAAATCAAAGATTGAAAACTTTCTTCAGCACCTGATGGCTCGGCGCGTGAGGAATTCTGTTCTGTCCTTTCCTCTGAAAGCATCGTAAAACACCCGAATGACAGCCAGGTTGAACTGGGTTTATCAGCACCGCTACAGCGCAGTGTTGTTAAAAAGGGAAGTGTAGTGCTGTCTCGGGGCCATCAGGTGAGGTATCTTGGAAAACTTCAAGGCTTATAGTGCAGGTTCTTGATTTTAATCCTGCAGCTGAATTTGCTCTGTAGTATCAGCAGGGTAAGTGCTCGCACCTGGATGTCAATCTGTGTGCCCTTACGCAGTGAAAGCCCGACAGGCAGTGGTCCTCTGCGTGGGCAAAAGGGCACCCTGCTAGCCTGGGCAGAGGCGTAGGCACAATGGAAAGTACAACTGCACAATGAGTTTTTCCTCATAGGAAAGTGGTTTAGGACTGTTGGTGTTAGCAGCGGTGTGTAGCGCGAGGGGAGTCATCCCGGGGCCTCGGAGGGAAGTGTGTGTGACTTTCTGTTCCCGTAGACTTGTCAACGCTCCGGAGGGTGGTGTGATGACTAAAACTGTTCTTCCGTGCCCTCTCTGAGAGAGGACTGGGAGAGAGCAGTGTTTAAACACTGAGTTCATGTCATTCATGTTCCGTGTTGGGCTTACTGCAGTTTGGAGGAATGAGATGCATATAGCTTACACGTAGTTGTATTTTTAAAAGTAGGAGTAACACCACTGTGAGAAGGCCTGATGCGCTGAGTTATCCTGTGAGCCTTCCCCCGCCTCCGAAGGGTCCCAGACCTTAGGAGAAGGCGATGTCTCTCGGAGCACCTCCTGGCAGAGCAGCTGCCTCTGTGGGGTTAGGGTGTAGTGACCGGAGAAGGTGCCTCTGGAGGAACTTGTATCTGGAGAGTTAAATCCGCAGTAGCGCAGGCCTCGTGCTCACTGGAGCTTTGCCTAACGCTGCCTTTGAGAGGGTAACTCTGCTCATGCCTCGATGCAAGCAAAAGCCGTATTTTGGAGTTGTGCTAGTGCTGGTCAAAGCAGGGAAGGACTTGAAAGAAAAACTTGAAGAGTTAAAATTTTTTAGCAGTTGTGCCTACCTTAAGAGGATTGCTGACCCAGCTGACAAACTCTTCTTTGTGCAAATAAGGTTAGGTTTCCAGCTGGTAGGTTTTTTCATAGCCCAGTATGTTATCAGATGATGGTTTGGCTTGTGTTTAATCATTCCGATGATTACGGAGTCAGAAGGAAAGGGGTGTGTTTTGCATTCGTTTCGCGTAGCTTCTAATACTTAATATTTATGTAAGCTGCAGTAACATGTGTGATGGTCTGTGCCAAATTAATTGCTTTATACAAGGAAGAACTTGCAGACCTGTAGGTTGGTGTGTTGCACACCAGGGAGACCGTTCTTGGTGCTCTTACCCTGAGCAGCGCTTTTTCAAGGTGTATTTGTAGTTTTGTCTTTGAACAAATTCTGCCGCCTTGCAGAATTGCTTCACGTGGCGTTTGTTTCTAAAGAAACTTTTCCAGAAATTTGGCTCTTAGAACTACGCCTGAGAAATAGGAATGGCCCGTAAACGTGGAGTGCTCCTTTTGACGTTGTGTTATGATGTTCAATAGAGAAACTAACTTGTGTTTATCTGAAGAGAAGCGCGTACTTCTTGGTGGTCTGCTTCTGTGCTGGGTGATAAAACCTTTTTTGCTGAAGTGGTGCGCTGAGCGGGGAGCTTTATGGTGTGTGAGAGCCTCTCCTCGCTTGGAATAGCTTTCTTTGGTAGTGGTATTGGTGAGTAATAAAAGCTTACTTTAAACAGGCCTAGGCTTCGTACAAAGTAGGAAATACATACAGAGCTAGTAAATCTGAATATATTCTTTGCTCCCCCCTAAACTGACTTCTGGTTTCAGACAGAGAAAGGAGAAAATAAAAACTGAGTAGCTCATTCAGGCTGTTTTACCTCTGTTTTTATTTGCCTCAGTCACCCATAAGGCTTTATAATAAAACTCCCCTGCTTGTCTGCTGTTCTATTCTTGCCCCAGCTTTTTTCTTCTTTCCAGGCATGTAAATTGTGCCTTTACTCCCACGGGCTTACGCCCAGCTGCTTTATCGACTGAAATCAGTAGCGAAATAGTTAATAAAGACCTTCAAGTGTCAGTAATAGGCTGAGGGTTGACACTGATAAAACTAATGGGGCGCAAAGGGAGTTCACAGATCATGAGTCACTGTTCTGGGCCGCCTGCAGGCTCAGGAAGTTGATGCTTGGTTTTGTTCAGAGAGTTAACTTTGTGATCATGAAAGCTAGAAATTTGTGGACAGCTTGTTTTTCTCTATTTATCTCAGTATTAATGTGTAATGTACCCAGGAAGGGGAAGGAGGGGTCATTGTGTAGGCAGGTACCTACATTTCTTCTGACAGCTTCAATTATATTTAAATATTTATACATACTTCAAGCTTGATAGACTTGTGTAGATTGTTCTCCTCTAGTCATCTTCTAACATAGTGATTCATCAAGGAGTACTGTATAGCTCTAGATAGCCTGGATTTATCTAGTAAAGTCATGCACCATTCTGAATGTGAAGAGGAACTTTTAAAGGTAAAATAGTTTATGACAGTAGTTCATTGAAAAAAGAACGTGAGAAATAGAGTAAGCATGAGACCGAGGCCTGATACAGAAAGCTGGTCCGTTCCCATCTTTCTGAAAATAAGGTTTTTTTATGTTATTCCTATCTTGTGGTCTGCTGTTTCAAATCAAAACGCATGTAAGAGAGAGGTGGAGGTGTAAGGTTACATGGCCTGATACACGGAAATATTTAGCTGTGTGTCTACAGGTGTGGAACTGACTTTTTTGCAAGACCTTGCCTGAAAGTCTTTAATTTCCAGTTCTGATGGTCTAGTATGCTCTTACAGTAGTCCAGAAAAAACTGCAGTTTCTTAGTTGATGGGATGAATAATGAAGACTCAGTTATTCAAGAAATTGTGTCTGGGGGGAAAGAGGGAGCGCCTAGGTGGTCCAAAAGAAATAAAAGAAAAAAAGCCTCAGATAGGTCTCATCTTCCTTTTAAAAAGCAAAACTGTGGTGTTTTCTTTCAGCTGATGTGTTTCAATTGCTAAGTTCTTACAAACGTGTTCTGTGGAGTTATGAAAGTTCTACAGCATAACACAGTTCTATTTTCCTCTCTAAAGGTGGCTACGAGTAGTTTTCCCCTCTAAATGTGGCCACAGGCTGGAGCAGCGTTCCAAGAATGGGGGAGATAGCACTCTTATTGTGACAGCTGCGAGTATTGCAATCCACTTTGCGTTTGGAGTCTGACAAATACTATAAAAGCACTAGAAAAAGAAGAAGTGTATCTCAGAATTGCCCAGCCTTTTTGTTGGCCGGCTTTTTGCAGCAGTGCTGGTGGTTGTGGCCGGAGGGCAGCTGGAGTGCCCAGGAGCGTTTGGGGATCTGCATGTGTCAGTTTGTCTGCTCGCGTTTGTGCCAACGTATGCACAGATTTGTAGTTAACACGTGTAATATTCTAGGTGGCTAAATAACTTTATTTTGGCTCTTAGGGGAGAAGAAATATGTTGCCTCTGTTAAAAGAATGTTACTGAGAAAGCTTGTTCAAACCTCCTACAGGTTTGGCAGACTTTTGGGGCAAAATATTACTCGGCATGTTGGAAAAGGAGCAGAGTATAGATCATTTTCCAGAGATAGCTGACCAGCTTCAACCGTGCAGGCTGTATTCCAGGAACGCTGATGAATGGCTGCAATTGTGAACTGTCAGCTCCAGCAGCTAAACTGTTGAAAACCTGATTGTGCAGACGTCTTCCCTGCGTGCGTCTCTGGGCTCAGCTAAATCCCGTATTTGTGTAGCGGTACCAACTGTTGATCAAACGGAGCTCTTGGGACTGCGTTCATCACGTAAGGGCGAAACGGGGCACGGGCATTAATACACCTTGGGTAAGGGTTTCCTCACGTATTGCCCTAGATGCAAATTGGACTTGAATGCTTTCGGCTCTTCCTGAGGGACTGTGTTTGGGAGAGTTTGTGGAAGCAAAGGGGGATGTAACAGGGGACAGACACGCTCCGGAGTCATGAGTGCCCTCGCTTCGATGGCCGGAGCTACGGTGTTTGGAAAGCCGTCGAGGTAGGACTTCAGACCTGGTGCTGCCAAAGGGTGGTTGGTGCGGACACAACTCCAGGTAGCCGTGTTTGCTTTTCTCTGTGCTTTCTAGAACAGAAATTAATTAAGGTAACTGCAGCACCACACCAGTTTCTAGACCATGGAAAACCTATCCTGCCATGCATTCAGTTTTTGAGTGTTACAAGACACCTGAAGAGAAAATGTGGTTGTTCGTTTGGCAGTGCTGATCCCCAGTTTAAACCTTTGTTAAGGAGGAGTCAGTACATTCTTAGAATTAATGAGCTATATGTGTTTCAAATGAGATAGAGGACAGGGAGGAAATTTTAAAAAAAAATAAAATTACAAAGTGAAATTCACAAAGGAAGAAATTCACAAGGTGGAACAGTTGAGTTTGTTTTAAAGCCTGTAGCGTAGCAGCTCTGACATAAACGCTTCTCTGTACCTCCTATTGCAAAGTGTTGTGCTCAGCTCGGTGGGTTAGGGTTTTTTCTGCTCCCCTGTGGAAGAGTGCAGGGGTTCCCTAGTCAGCTTGTTTCTGAATGCTGTCTTTTATGGTAGGAATAACAGTGTATGTTTCATGGAAGCTTTTTC